GGTAAAATCACCAGCAATTGTCATCAGGTGTTCAGCTGATGACGATTGCTTGTGTTGCGATCAAAACGTCGTGATTTATTTTGTTTTATTTCCACCTACGTGACTTTACCGAAATTACTAAAAAGTATAGAAGAATCTATTGGTTATTTCGGTAAAGTCACGTAGAAGGGAAATAATACAATAATAAAAATAAACATCATAAAATAATTCTCACGACGTTTCGGCCACAACGCAAGCAGCCGTCCTCAGGTGAAGAATGAAACACCACCAAGCTTCGAGCGTATATTTAAGCTGGGTTGGAGGGGGAAGAAGAGCGCCTTGACAAAATAATTTGCATATCAAGCGGAATTTAGCATATTTAGAGGAAATGCGTAGGAGGTGGGCGGGAGGGTTTCAAACTCATATTATGCCCATGCATTATGCAGGATTAGCATCAAAGGGAGGGGATGAGGGTAGCATTAACAAAGGGAAGGAATGTTAATAGTATGTAGCTGCAGTTACTAAACAACCATGTAAAAAACGAAAGTATGAACTACATAGTATCATTAGTATACTAAATATACTCTCCAATAAGCTGAGCTACTAACAGTAAGTAATACATTACAATTCTACGTCGCAAAAAATATAATATGCTTCCAGCTAAACTTTTTTCTCTTACATCACACGTGTCTACCACGTACTATTTACTACCATAGACAAACCCAACATTAAATTACATACTGTATTACTATACACCACTCTATACCTTGGCGTACGTGTTTGAGTTCACTGGCAATGTGTTCCTGGTCGAAGATGCATTGGGCTCTATGGTATAGAGTCTTGATGAGGGAGTTCTTCTGGGATGGATGGTGGTGGAAATCCGGTTTTAGGTAAGCATCCGTATTGGTGGCTTTCCTGTAGACAGAGTGGCTCATTGAACCATCAGGTCTCCTTTTAATTAGGACATCCAAAAAGGGTAGCTTGCCATCTTTTTCGACTTCCATGGTAAATCTGATGGCTGGGTGTATGGAATTGATGTGGTCGAGGAATTGGTCTAGAGCAGGCCGGCCATGTGGCCAGATGACAAAAGTGTCATCTACGTACCTCTTCCATAAGGTCGGGCGTAGAGTGGCAGTCTGGATGGCGTCAGTCTCAAATTTCTCCATGAAAACTTTGGCTACAACCCCAGACGACCTGCTTGTCAGTTTTGGTGTGGTTTCCTTATTCACCAAAGTTCCTGTACCTGACACCATCGCAATCATTGAAATCTTGGTTCATCAAGGACTGAATACTGGGATACCCCCCCCCCCCCCCTGGTGAGACACTGCTTAACCAATACATACTTCACCTCGAATGGAACTTTCTACAAACAAACTGAGGGCACCCCAATGGGTCCCCCCCTATCTCCAGTTGTAGCCAACGTTTTCTTAAACAAGAGTATGCACAGAAATGGGCACAGGTGGTGCATCAGCCAGTCATCTCAGTTAGACCCATGGCACCTACTGGGTCTGCCCCGACGAGCGGGAGTTCGAAACTTCACGTGGTCTCAAGGTGCACATGGCCTGGCGCAAGCGTCGTGGTGACGTCACCGCCACTTAGTGTTGTTGTTGTGTGGGGGAGCGGTAGTGTAGCAGTTAGCGCAATGCTGCGCTGCGAACCCGGTGACCCGAGTTCGATTCACGGCCAACATCGGTGATTTCGATTATCTAAACTGGCCCTGAGCCTCCGCTAGGTCGACTCAGTCTCAAATGAGTACCTGGTGCGGGACGTAAAATCATCACCGCTGGGGAGACAAAAGGGACCAGGTGCTGACCACCCACCCCTTCGTGTGCCATGCCGGCCTTCATAGGTGCTCGCTAACAGCGCTTGCCCCAACAGTCTGTTACAGGCTACATGGGGGATCTTTGTTGTACGTGTGTGTGTGTCTATGTGTGTGCAGATCAGATCCGTTCAATGAAGACTTGAAGGACAGAACTACACACACACCCACACACTCACGCACACACTCATCCACACACTCACACACTCACCTACACACTCACCAATACACTCACTCACCCACTCACTCACTCACCCACTCACCCACTCAGCCAAACACCCACTCACTCACTCACCCACTCACTCACCCAACCACTCACTCACCCACTCAGCCAATCACCCACTCACTCACCCACTCACTCACCCACTCACTCACTCACCCACTCACTCACCCACTCAGCCAATCACCCACTCACTCACTTAACCACTCACTCACCCACTCACTCACCCAACCACTCACTCACGGGGGCAGTCACGTGCGGTAAGGCGAGGCAGGGGAGGCAGAGCCTCACCTGTCAAACTACAATGAAAATAGCTTTACTTCAAGTAATAAAGAATAATAAAATTGAATAAATTGGAAGATTTCCACACTAATCTGTGTTATGAATATAATTTCTGTATGAATCCAATAATTTTCATAGTCAAAATCGCCAAATTTGCCGAGCTCCACTGCAAATACAGGGAGAGACGAGAGGTGAGGCAGCGACGAGCTCAGCCTCCCCTCTGATTGCGCAACCCCTCAGAAACTGGATGGAGCGCGGGCAATAAGCGCGTGCCTGTTACTATCTCAGTATGTCACCAATGTAATGTTTGTAGACCCCTTCAGAACCGCCCCCCTCAGTCAGGACACGCCCCCTTAGTGAGGACACATCCCCTCAGTGAGGACACGCCCCCTTCAGTGTGTAAATCTGGCTTTGATACGAGCCAGTGCCTCCCCAGCCATTGACCTCACCGCACGTCACTGCTAAATATCACCACTAAGGGAGACAAAGGCGGTTGGGCGTGGTGCTGCTGGACACCCACCCCCTCGTGTGCCACAGTGCCAGACTCCATAGGCGCTGCTACTTCTCGTTACTAACAGTCACTTGCCCCCGGCAGTCGGTTACAGGCTACACGGGGGATCTTTGTCTTTCTTGTTTGTGCGCGCGCGTATTGACTGTGACATCACACGTGGGAGGTCTGGACCAAGTTGGACATGGAGGAGCACGTGACCCGAGTAACGTTTAAAAGGGGAGACGGGGAGAGGATTTCAGTGACTTGGTGACCAACGCTGAGCACCGACAACCTCCGATTAGCAGGACGCTCAGCTGCTACGTACGGTGGAACGAAAGAAAATTCAACGTACCGTACGTATAAAGACTCACACAGAGATCCATAGACTCATCACACCAGACCCTAAGACTCATAACAAACATACCTATAGCCTCACACAGAGTTCCATAGCCTCACACAGAAACCCATAGATTTCTCACACATAGACCCATAAATTACTCACAGAGGCCCATAGACTCACAAAAAGACCCATAGCCTCACATAGAGACGAGTCCACTCACTCATAGACCAACAGACATACACAGGGACCCGTAGACTAGCACAGACCCATAGACTCACATAGAGATGACTAAACTCAAACATAAAGCCACAAACTCACATATAGACCCACAGACTCACACTGGGACCCGTAGACTCACACAGACCCATAGATGTACACAGAGATCCATAGCCTCACACAGAACCCCATAGACTCACATGGAGACCCATAGACTCATCTCACATACACCCACAGACTCACATATAGACCCACAGACTCACACTGGGACCCGAAGACTCACACAGACCCATAGATGTACACAGAGATCCATAGCCTCACACAGAAACCCATAGACTCACACATAGACCCACAGCCTCAAACAGAGACCTGTAGACTCACATTAAGACGAGTTGACTCACACATAAGCCCGCAGACTCACGCAGAGGCCATAAACTCCTACCACAGAGACCCATAGACTCACACAGCGACCATAGACTCACAAAGAGACCCGTATAATCATATAGACCAATAAACTCATACATAGACCCACAAACTCACACAGGGACTCGTACACCTCAAAAAAAAGATCCATAGACTCACACAGAGACCCATAGACTCACACAGAGATCCATAGCCTCACTCAGAAATCCGTAGATTTCCTTCATATAGAGACCCATATTACTCACAGAGACCCACAGACTCAAACAGAGGACCCGTAAACTCACATAGAGACGAGTAGACTCACACAAGGACCCACAAACTCGCACAGAGACGAAGAGACTTACACATAGACCCACATTTGTGATGGGCAGGGCGCTTGTGAAAAAATAGCTACTATATATCAGCTCATGTGTACCTTACTTGGTAAAATAAACTTAACGTTCGTGTTTAAATCCATCCTGTGTACCAGGCGAGCTAGTTAACATCTCGCCACTGCTGTCCCCAGATGTCCATCTCGGCCCTACCGCTGCTGCTGCTGCTTGGGGTGGTGGGAGCCCAGCAGGAGAGGACCGTCTGCGCGGGCATCAACGGGATCCCCGGACAGCCGGAGCTCCGGGGCAGCACGGGACCCCTGGGGCCCCGGGAGGGACGGCAGAGACGGTGAGGGGTCGGGTCCCAGAGAATCCCCCACGGTGCGCTCGTGGTGCGACGCGATCACTCGCTCGCTCACTCGTTCACTCACTCGCTCACTCATTTGTTCACTTGCTCCACTCATTTGTTCACTCGTTCACTCACTCATTCACTAACTAATTCACTCACTCATTCACTCACTCAATCGTTCACTCGCCATGTCATGCACTCGATCGTTCACTCACTCATTATCGTAGGAGAGTGTCTCGTGTGGAGTAGAGTGAGATGAGAGGGCAGAGGCAGGAGAGTGCGTGGAGGGGATATGAGTGAGATGAGAGGGGAGAGGCACGAGAGTGCGTGGAGGGGAGTAGAGTGAGATGAGAGTGGAGAGGCATGAGAGTGCGTGGAGGGGAGTAGAGTGAGATGAGAGTGGAGAGGCAGGAGAGTGCGGGAGGGGAGTAGAGTGAGATGAGAGTGGAGAGGCAGGAGAGTGCGTGGAGCGGAGTAGAGTGAGATGAGAGTGGAGAGGCAGGAGAGAGCGTGGAGGGGAGTAGATTGAGATGATTGGGGAGAGGTAGGAGAGTGCGTGGAGGGGAGTGAGATGGGTGGGGAGAGGCAAGGAGAGTGCGTGTTGGGAGTTGAGTGAGATGAGAGGGGAGAGGTAGGAGAGTGAGTGGAGGGACGTTGACTGAGATGAGAGTGGAGAGGGATGAGAGTGAGTGGAGGGGAGTAGAGTGAGATGAGAGGCAGAGCAGGGGCGGTTTCTTCATTAGGGCGATTGGGCGACGCACCACCAATGTCATTGAACCACAGAGTCATGCTAGGCGTCACTGCAGCCTCTGGATATAGTCCAATCAGCGTCATGTCACGTTCTGTGGAGTACCGCCTCTTTTTGGGCGATTTAACTCCGGCTGAGAATCGCCCCGAGTGGCCCCATAGACTTACATTCAAAGATGTTTTTTTTCGACCGGGGGGCACTCCAATGCATTCTCTATGGCTTCCGGGAGGACAAGCCCTAACGTGCTTACGTCGTCATACGTGCTTACGTCATCATACGTAAGCACGTTTCATCCAACAATATAATTTGTGGCCACCTAGTGGAATCTTTAATAAAATAAACTTGAGTGGTTTGTTTTAATAGTGAGTATAGAAACATACAATATGTATTGTAAGAGTCACTTTATTTTTCATTAATATTAAATAAGTGAAGTTGCCTTTACATGCTTAAGCTGTTAATGCATCCATTGCATGGGTGGACCTATCCTTATCAATCATCCAGACATTTGCCCCCCCTGAGAGATTTTGCAGGAGCCCGCCACTGGGGCAGAGGCAGGAGGAGTGCGTGGAGGGGAGTAGAGTGACATGAGAGTGGAGAGGCAGGAGAGTGCATGGATGGGAGCAGAGTGAGATGAGAGAGGAGAGGCAGGAGAGTGAGTGGAAGCGAGTGGTGTGAATTGAGAGTGGCTTGAGGAGCGCGACGAGCCATGCTTTGTTCTTCTCGCAGGCGTTACCGGAGCACCTGGAGCCAAGGGAGACCTCGGGGCTCGAGGCTTGACTGGAGACCCAGGTGGGACTGTGACACTGACTCGTGTGCTCCTAGCAGCTGATTCTATGTATTTATTTTATTACCAAGTAATCCTCACTGAGCTATGTGTAGTGGCGTAACGCGCGCAGGGTTTGCAAACAGCAGTTGCATTCATGTACGGGGTTGCAAACAGTGAGGTCAACTCAGGACGAGCAGGTGCAGGCGGGTGGCCTGGGAGACAGCAGACAGAGAGACGCCAGCAATTAGGGAACGAGGCAGTGATTGGCTGGCTGCAAATGCAAAACGCGGGTTAGGTGCCAAGGATGCGAGAGATAGTGGCGATGAGGGTGAGAACACGTGCAAGAGGCGTCGGGAAGACGCTGGCTTAATGAGGGCCACCTGAGGGCACTTAATTAGGAGGGGGATATAAGGGGAACGTGTGAAGCAAGTTGGTTGGAGATGAAGCAGTGAACAGTATTCAAGAGAAGTACGGTACCTTGCCCTCCACACCTCGGTCCTCCCAGAGGTGATGGCTGATCCCCCGCTGGGGGAAAGGGCGAGACACGCTAGCAGTGGAAAAGACTAGCGGAAAATCTTTAGTTTGAGTGTGATAGGCTTTAGCGGTGAGAAACTAGCAGAGTGTACAGAGAGAGGTCCGTGACAGGCTAGGAGAGCGGGGAGTAACAGGCTAGCGGAGGAAGAAAGAAGAGTTTGCGACATGAGTACGTGGTGTTGAACGTGAGGAGCAATCCGTGTGAGACGAATAAAGTAACTCAGGAGAAAAGACGAAGTTTTCCGCGTGAATAAACACCACGCGACATATGAGCTCTTGTTCAGGAAGCGGACCTGGCCACAGTAATGATAGCTCGACGAAGTGGACTTATTCATCACGTGGACATTTGTTCAGCCAAATACATGTCTACATGTGGAGGGAATGAAATCGGAGGACCCGGTGAAAATCCAGGCATGCAAACTCCAAGTAAACAGCTGGCCTCAGGATTGCGATCGAGCACACGACCTCCTGTAACCAGGTGAGGTAGTTAACATCTAGCCACCGACAGGCTGCATGTGCCACGAAGCGATTTATCACTTCTGCCTATACTTTTTTACTGAAGTCAGTGGCGTCTCCGCAAAATCTCTCAGGGGGGGCAAATGTCTGGGATGATTGATAAGGATAAGGTCCACCCATGCAATGGATACATTAACAGCTTAAGCATGTAAAGACAACTTCACTTCTTTAATATTAATGAAAATAAAGTGACTCTTACAATACATCTTGTTTGTTCTATACTCACTATTAATAGAATCCACTCAAGTTTCTTTTATTAAAGATTCCACTATGTTGGCGACAATTATATTCTTGGATGAAACGTGCTTACGTATGATGACGTAAGCACGTTAGGGCGAGCCCTCCCGGAAGTCATAGTAGAATGCATTGCAGCGCCCGCCGTTCGAAAAAAAAACATCTTTGAATGTAAGTCTATGGGGCCACTCGGGGCGATTCTCAGCCGGAGTGAAATCGCCCAAAAAGAGGCGGGTACTCCACAGAACGTGACATGACGCTGATTGGAACCTATATCCAGAGGCACAGTGATGGCTAGCGGTGACTCTGTGGTTGAATGACATTGGTGGTGCGGTCGCCCAATCGCCCTAATGAAGAAACCGCCCCTGCGTGAAGTTAAAATACACCAATTGTGCAGGTTTGGCTCACCGTCATCAACATAGATGCAGAATTGCCCCATCTCTCGTTTGAGAGTTGGGATAATACACTAAAATCACCCGTATCGCCCTCATCAGATCTGTTGTGGAATGCTGTTAGGAGCATCCAATGAAGGCCGGCACGCCTTTGGTCTCCCAAGTGGGTTGTTAACACGTCTCACCAGGTAATCATTTGAGGCTGAGTCGACCTAGGGACGGAGTCCCAGGACTGGTTCAGATAATCATCTCTGCTGGGTTCATAGCGCGAACCGCTACACTACCGTGGGATTGACAACACACTGACACACGCCGTGCGTTTGGACCGTGTTGTCCGCCTAGGTCTGCCGGGAAAGCTGGGCCCTCTTGGCCAACCAGGGCGCGCGGGGACTCCGGGAGTCCCAGGTGAGCAGGGCGAAAGAGGCGAGAAAGGCGAGCGGGGAGAGAGCGGCGTGGGGCCCAGGTCAGCCTTCTCTGCGAAGGTCGGCGCCTACACGCCGGCAGCCGGCGCTCCAATGACGTTCAACGTCATCATCACCAACCCGCAGGGCCACTACAACCCCGGCACGGGGAAGTTCACCTGCGCCCATCCAGGCGTCTACTATTTCACGCTGTACATGCATGCCCATGAAAAGCACCTCGTGATTATGATCATGAAAAACGGGAAGGTCGTCTCTAAGGTGTGCGGTGAGAAATTCAACGCAATAAGTGGCAGCGTCGTGCTGAGTCTCAAAGCCGAGGATGAGGTTTGGCTGGAGATGGAGGCTCCATACATAAATTTGTTCTTCAACGTGCACAGAGATGCGGTGTTCAGCGGCTATATGTACCCCGGAGTGAATCGTTTTGTTTCTATCGGCGTGTCTGGGAAGACAGATTGGGAACACAATAACACACACGCATATGTACCCCCTCCCCCCGTGATAAACAAAGCTTTTGGGTAACATCTCAGAAAAATACCCAGCAAATATGCTCGGCTTGCCCAATGCTGTGGTAATGACTGCAAATTTTCGGATGTGAAATTTTCTCACCAGAGGAAAAATAGAGCCAGCACTTTTTCTCAGCCACCTTTCTCCATGTCAGCCAGGGTGTCTGGGCGATTATGAATCGGTTAGACAATGCAGAGAGACATAGCTGCATGCACCAACTGAAAAAGTCCTGAAACCTCACCAATTTTCACATCCGGCATCGGCAGTGAAGGGGGAAATATTCCAATTCCAGCTGATAGCTAAGAGTTGCTCATTTCTAACATGGGAGAGAGAGGAGAGGGGATCAATTTCTCTCCCGTGCAATTCCCTCAATTTTTGCATCGGACGGCAACAGAAAGAAGGACAATAACTCCATCTGGAATACTGGGAATCTTAACAAGATTTGGAATGTAGTAACTATGCCTTGGTTCGTTACGCACAAGGACGTGACCCAACTGTGGCGGATAACAATTTCTTGACAACCAAGTACAACCAATTCTTCAAACTCTCGGCGACAATAATAACACGTGTCTACAGAACCCTGCAGTTCACCGACTTCACACAGCGACCCCGCGTGTCAACAATGACGGAAACCACGTCGACTTACACAGGTAGAGACCACCGTGAGGACCGTTCACACCAACCCTGATGCACGCCTCAACTCCTGGGCGACGAGGCAACGTACCAGATGCACTGGGTACGCAAATTCACCATCGAGGTCGACTACAGCGTCAGGGACACCCCCAGGACTCAACGGTAGAGCCGTACTCCCAAAATTCAACACAGAATCAACCTCGGTCTTGCATTGCACTCACAACAGTGCTCTTATGGGATCTATGCAGCGGCAGTCTCGGGATTTGTGTTTTGCGCTTCCAAAAGCGCTCTGAGTGACTCCATGCAGTGACAGTCTCGGGACTTGGCTGGAAATTCCAGCAGTGGTCTGAACATAAGACTCACACAGAGACCCATAGACTCACACAGAGACCCATAGACTCACACAGAGACCCATAGACTCACACAGAGGCCCGTAGACTCACACAGAGACCTGTAGACTCACACAGAGGCCCGTAGACTCACACAGAGACCCATAGACTCACACAGAGACCCATAGACTCACACAGAGACCCATAGACTCCCTCAGAGACCCATAGACTCACACAGAGACCCATAGACTCACACAGAGATCCTTAGACTCACACAGAGACCCATAGACTCACACAGAGACCCATAGACTCACACAGAGACTCATAGACTCCCTCAGAGACCCATAATTTGTGGTCCTTCCCCTCTCTCTTCTGATTCGCACGGTTGGCTATGTATGGTGCGAAAGAAGTTCAACGTACATACATACACACGCACACACAGGGCACGCTTGTTGGGAATTATTTGTTACTTAGCCACGAAGTTAGAAATGGGATTGTAGTCAATAGTTTTCACTGCACCATCTATCAAGTAGGTTCACGTGGCCCCTACTGCAATAGAACACCTTGAAAGAGATTAAGCCTGCCTACATATTATTCGCTCAAAGTTCCACGTTTGGTGAGTCCTCGCTTCCACTATATAACGCGCTTCTTCCATTTCAAAACACTTTTCACTCAATGCGGAATGCACACCATTATGTTATAACACAGAACGATCACCGTTACAATAGGTAACGCCGCTGCCTGTTACGACGTGGAACGCACGTACCGTTACAACGTGGAATGCGCGCACCATTATAATGCAAAATACAAACCGTTATAATTCAGAACGCACGCACCGTAATAAGAAGGAATACGCACGCAGTTATAATGCTGAATGCATGCAACGTTACAACGCGTATCGTGCTCAACGTTATAACACAGAACGCTTAACATTATAACAGGGAACTTGTGTGCTGTTGTAACGTGGAACGTGCTCCACCGTTGCTGTAACGCGGTTTCTGAGAGGTCAGCGGGCAAAGTACTTTCTCAAGACTGCATGATGGCTCAACTGTTATGGTGAAGCGGTAACGCGAGGAGTGATACGGTGACACGGCGATGCTCGGCCCGTCGGTTGACGGGGAACTACTTTTTAAGAGTGCTCCTCTCACGTTAATGTCCTAGGGCCACAGCGTGTGGCGTTGATGCGGACTTCTCGTCGCGTGCTTCTGTGCGTTGCTGAAAGAAAGGAGGCTTTTTTTCTTTATTTCCAAGGGGTTTTTCGTCTGCCATACATAAAGGATCTGTAATCGTGTGAATATTTATTTGTGTCAATTTGTATGTTTGTGTATGCCAACTTCAAATAGTAAACACATGTAAAACACACAAAAACACAGACACAACACCTAAAAACATAAGGTTATGCAGGAATGTTTTAAAAAATTACTATTTAAACATATTACGATTCAGTGATTATGTGTCGTTTTTGAAAATCCGGCGCCATCTTTTCCTCCAAAGCCGCCAGATAATCGATGATCCAATGTATAATCGATTATATATGTGTAATACGAGAGTTCACCGATGAGCGCCGATCAGTGTGATAGGCTCCGCCGCTTGGGCCATCACCCAATCAGAGGGACGGGCCGAGGTTAGGGGCGGAGCTCAAAAGGCTCATGGGAAGTAACCATCTCGAAGGTTCGTGAGGGAACGTGGCTGTAGGCGGGGATTGGTGACGTGGGCCAGGGGATATAAGGGGACGCGGAAGAGAGGTCGAGGTCAGTGTGTGGAGTCAGAGAGTGGGACCACGTCGCTCGCCTCCGGGACGCCAGCGGCCACGTGGCGGCCGGAGGCTTCCTCCCAGTCAGAGGTCGCAATCGGGTACCCGATACCCGTACCCTACCCGATACCCGGCTACCTGTACCCGGCCGTACAATCCGCAAAGCTGTCTCCGCATGGCTGGGGAGACAGCTAAAACCATCACTTTACCGTACATAGCAGGGGTTACCAAAAAGATTTCCAAAATCTTAAACAAACACAAGATCCAGGTTCGTTTCAATACAGTACACAAAATTTGTGATTTAATCCCATCTGTAAAAGATGTGATTCCTGACATGCAATACCCTGGTGTCTACAAAAAAACTAAGACTGATTTGTGGTTGTGGCAGCAGCTACATTGGGGAAACGAAACGACAGTTTCGGACCGCGTCAGTGAACACAAGGCAGATCTAAAACACGGTCATTGCCGATCATTGTTTTAACGCTGTGGGCTCACGAAATTGATTTTTCCAAGACGGAGGTACTCTGCAAACCTACTGGCTACCTTCAGAGATTTGTTCATGAAGCCATCCATATATATGTAGGACTTGAGAAACAGCGTCACGCGTTGGATTGTGATACGGGCACGGGCGGACAGTGAGGGCAAATGGGGACACGGAGCAGGGCAACATACTGTTGTGTGTACCAATTAAGGTGGTCAGGTAATTAAGGGAGGCCTGCAGGTGTTCGGGGGTAATCGAGGACGCAGGCTGGTGATGGGACGAGAGGTATGGGTGTCGGGAATTGGCGCGCGGTGTCTACAACAACAACACCACGTGAGGCTGGGGGCTGGGGTCGAGTAGCAAAGCGGGGGATAGTCCAATTAATTAAGGGGAATTGGTTCGGGGATAAAGGGGGGAGAAACGGGAGTTGGTTGGTGCCTTGGATGAGAGGCGGACAGAGAAAGAGACGGAGCAGCAGACAAGAGAGTATAGTATAGGGTAGCAGTGGACAAGAGAGTATAGTATAAGGTAGCAGTGGACAAGAGAGTATAGTATACGTAGCAGTGGACAAGAGAGTATAGTATAAGGTAGCAGTGGACAAGATAGTATAGATACGTAGCAGTGGACGAGAGTATAGTATAAGGTAGCAGTGGACAGAGAGAAGACAGAGTATGGTAGCAGCGGATAAAGAGAATACAGTTAGATAGCAGTGGAGTCGCTGGAGGAGAGGAGCAGAAGGAGAGCGAGCGAAGCCAGCGGAGCGAGAGAGCGAAGGAGGGACATTGAGTGATGTTGATGGGGAATTGTGCGTTGAAGAGAATGGAGGGACATTGGGTGATGCCGACGGAGGAGATGTGAACTATACGCGTTAATAAAAAACCGAGAAAGAAAAGAAGCTGTCGCGTTAGTACGAGTCCTACACCTATATTAGTTCGTTTTGTTGCATAGAGATCGGCAGAAAATTGTATGTTTTGGATTATCTGCGATTTGGTAATTAAGCGCGGCCGTCGTTCCTCATCATTAGCGTGGATAATCTAGAGTTGCTGCAGTATATTCTTCACATATATAGTTTGATGCATGGCTTCTCAGTTTTAATGAACTATTGATCAATCGATTGCATGTTGCACCCAACGGCGTACGTGTTCACGGGAGTGCAGCCCCGTGTACTGTACGGTACAGTACTTATTAATTTAGCACTGGGGCAAGGTCTGTTTACAATAGCAATACAATGTAATAGTTTTCTCTTGGTTCTTTCGGTAAAGTCACTTAAAATAGTTGGGTTGCGTAAATATAATTGTAATTGTGTAAATTATTCATGTAAGTGTTGGAAGCAATTAAATAAATCATGAGGTTTTTTTTTGTGAGATTGCGTAAATATAAATGTATCATTAAATTAGTAAAGGTTTGTAAGGTAAACAAAACGTAGTGGGTTTACTCTCCAACATACCGGTGTGCTGCACTAGTAACGATTTGGCATGTTTTGTTTACATGACAAACCTTAGTAATTGTCTGTATCGGGTGGTGTTAGCGGTTCATATTTCCGCGATCTAACCCAAAAACCTCTATTGGATAATATTGGTCACGAGGAGAAAAAATCAGACCACTCATTCACAATGAACTCACGCGCGCTGATGATGATCGCGATGGTGAAAAATACAAAAAACCTAGCATTTTGAACTAAAAGAGGAGCTGCCGAAGTGATGAACAGAAGGTGTGTACCGGATTATTGTTATCGTGTATTTGTAGTAGTGATGTAAATGGTGTCACGAGGGTGTTCGAGACAGCGACTGTACAGGCGTGGAACTATGAGTCTGGAGTCTCCTCTCTAGCACCAGAGTAAGTACGGCATAGGCCTCGGCAAGGTAAGGTAAAAGGTAAAAAACAACGAACCTATCTATACCCTACTTTTTACCTTACCACAATACAATCACTCTACTCGACCTTCACCTTGAGCAGGTAAAGGTAAAAGGTAAAAAGCAACGCCTACCTTTACCCTACATTTTACCCTTACCCCATACAAATTACCTGATTAGAGGGTAATTACTGGGGTACTACTACACATAAAGGTTTATAACAGGTAAATGCTAGGTAGAGTGCTTTATTCATATAGAATACTCCCAATGATTCCAATTTACACGCTTGCCATCGTGTTGTCGTGTTGTCGTGTGTATCCTCAAATCTTGTAACTCAATTTAACCTACTTTCCAATGTGGTATCGACTGATAACTTGGTATATTATGTCATACTGATGACATTTTTTATTCTATCATAAAAATATATTTTTTAAACATTCTTTTTTATATGTTATGTTTCGGCTTTGGTCTAATTGTCCACGCTCAACTGACGTTGGCTGTAATTGGCCACAGCCCCTTACATTATGGCAAGCCTTGGGGCCACTTCCTGGAGTCGTGGAGTTCTGCCATTACTAGTACATTTAATAAAAGCGTGTTTAAAAAAGTTTTAGAAATATTACTTGTAAAATGGAGGCCACGGACTGCGCCACGGAGCTTTTAACGGTAAACAAGGTACCGTATTTACCGGTAATACTTTGCGCTACCTTTACCCTACCAGATAATTCTTCCGAGCTACTTTACCCATA